CTTGAAGGTGGAAGCACAGTCTGATGAACTGTGTGTACCTTCAACAGGTCTGGCCCCTGAGCTGACCAAATCAGAAAAGCCAGCCAATTGAGCTGGCACGATTAGAGCAAGCAGTTTTCCGCAAACCACATCAGCTGCAATCGGTGCATGAGCGATTTTCAGTCAACATGTCCACATGTCAGTCAACTTGCGGTGTAGGCAATCAGTGCATGTGTGGGATGAGTGCGGTTTGTGACATGCACAATCGGATTTTGCGGCCTGCAAGAACGGACTAGTTTGCATCATCGAGAGCAGCAATCAGCAGCATTCCATGTGTCTTCAGTGCTTGTGAAATTTGTGGCATGAAAAGCGGAACAACACCCTTTGGCAGCAGCATGAATCAAATGCGTGTGATGCAGAGCAGGGACCTGCGAGACAGCACATGCTTTTTCAACAGCCAAAACTGGTTTGAGATCATTTTAGAAATTAATCATCCTGTAGTGGACCGCCCCACATCACCTTCTTTGCCTGTCAATCCTCGCGATTGACTGTTGCAAATGTGTGCGTCAAACTCTACAATCAAAAGCTATCAGCGCCGGTAGGAAGATGGCAGGGCCAATGATCAGGGCCATGGCCAGCGAAAACCTCTGGTGCATGGTATGAAAATGTACCCGGAGCTCACGTACAACTGGTGGAGTTATTTTACATCGAAGAACAGACAGAAAACGCATTGAGTAGAATCGATAACGACAAATAAGGCGTCTGCCACGAAGCGGCATTTTTATACATTTTATACCTTCTGTCCAGCTCTTCAAAACACAGTGTATCCCTCGGGATTTGCATTCCGTGATATAGCATTTCCCCAACAATTCCATATTTTCCCTGATGCAGCGCCTACATGGGGAGATGCATATTTTCACTGAATGGTAAGTGATAACCCCGCCTCTTGCACCTGCAATGCCAAGTTTACACTGTGTCTCGCTCGAGAGTTTGCAAGCTGATACTGTATGTGCTGATCTGAGAACAGTGTGAGCCTTGAGATCCGTAGTGGACCTGGTCAACTGTGTTTTGTTGGGTTACTGTGAAGCTGAGACATGTTTTCCAGCGTTTGTGATTGCAACAGACATGAAATACTCCTGTCAGTTTTGCTGATTGTGATAGAAAAGTCACTTGAGTGTGACGTTGATTTTGGTTTTTACTTGGAATGGAGATCTGCACAACTGTACCTTGCCAGTACACGCAAGCAGGGTGTCATTGCCATCATTCTGCAATCAGCGCATGTTTTCTAGGGTTTAGATGGGTTCAGTTGTTCTTGTGGCTTTAGGGTTTAGGCCACTTGCAGGGGTAGGGGCCTTCAAACAAACGCTGCCAAGCAGAGCTTGATTGAAGCTGGAGGCACAGTCTGATCGGCTGTGCGTGTCTGCAAGTGGCCAGGCAAAAAAACAAGGCCCTGAGCTTGCAAACTTACAGCCCTTGGTTTTCACACACAATGGCATCTGAGCATGTTTCAGACGAGCTTGGACTGCGCCATCAGTGCACATGGTGTCAGTGCATGTGAAACCGTTGGAGCAACATCACAACATATTCAGAACATGTGAAACCCGGAATTTCCACAACAAGTTTTCAGTTTGTGGTGGAAACATAGCCGATTGCTCTATCAGTTCAGACACTGGACAAGTGTGGGTTGATGTGTGGGGGAGGGGATTCGTTGCTTTTACTTCACTTGGCCAGCTCACCTGAGGACGTTGTTTTCATCATTCGAGAGAAGGGACATCCGACCTTCACGAGAGAGGCGCCCAATCGTGCTACAGCAGTACAGTGGTACGAGTCAGTTTGCCTGTAAGAACTGGTGCAAACTGCATCAGGGCTCCAACTTGCTGCACCATCGGAAGATTCCACTCGTAGATGCCCTCACAGGCTTTAAGGCGGGCAGGCACGTGTTCTTTCAGAGTGGTGCCGGCACAGCTACAGCTGAGGTGGACGTTTCCATGTTGGACAAGAAGGAGCGTATTCTCCGAGTTAATGTGACAGACATCGTCTGCGACTCGCGAGCAGCCGCTGCATGTGCAATAGCCCAGCATGCATACCAACGGGTTTGGATGAGGTCAGCCCGAACTATGTAAAGGTGGTGAAAGGTGAAGGCATGCCATCTAGCAAGCCTGGTGGAAGCAAGGCCTGTGCCATGTGCGTCCATGAGCATCGCGTCCTGCAGCAAACTGTGCTGTCTTTGGTGCATGAAAAATTGGCTTGCGGAGAGGGAGATCTTATTATCACCTTCGACATCGTCTACCCATCGTCGTTAACCACTGAGCAGAAGGAGCCATCAGAAAGCATGCGTTGCATGAACGAAGTTCGCTAGAAGCGTGTCCAGCCTAGCCTCTGCTTTCAGGAGAAGCTCAAGGCTGCATTGCCCAGGTCATGAGAGGACCAGATGGACCAGCCTTTTTCAAACTCCGCGGAAAGATTACGGTTGCGGCTTCGGCCTGCCAAAGCTCCAAAACCAGAATGGCAGATGCCGGGCTTGGCAGCTTAGAGTACAGATTGCCAGTGACAGAGTGCCTGGCAAACGTCGAAGATCTCCTTCATGATTTCTTTTCAAGCTGCCGACGTTTTGTAGTTTGTAGAGGCGGCACTGCGCATGTACAGGTCAAGTCACAGGACCTAAACGGGAATTATGACCGTGAGAAGCGTCCTGGTGATATAGCAGTTGCCAAATACTTGCGACCCTGAAAGTGCGTCAAGACGGCGGCAACAAGTTCGGCTGCACAGCATGAAGCCCGGATGATGGATGTGCAAAGCCACAAGTCATACTTTGCAAGCCTGGCCAGAGCGCGCGTGCGATGCGTGGAAGCATTTCAGATTCTATGTTGTCAATGCAAAATTGCAAAACCTGGGATTTGCCAGATTGACTGGATAGATGCAAGCATAGAAGCATAGTGAAGCTGAGAATGCCTGGACCTGGCACGACACATGACGCGCTGGGAAGCAACGCAGGTGGGAGCACAAAGTATGCGGAGCCATCTAGCCTGACCTTCCAGTGCAGGCAGCCAGCATGGCGATCTTCGATTATCTGACAATTTGGTCAGGCCAGGTGCAATCGTACTCTTCAGAGCTGCTTGGCACAGGTCTGAAAAAATTGTGTTCGGATCCCAATGCCAAAGCGTTGCAGCTGGAGGTCTCCCAACCATGAAATGTATCAACGGTCGGAAACTCATTTGAGAGCCTAACACGCGGCTTGCTGCGCTACCTGCTGTCTCATAAACAAGGTTTCGCAGCTTCTTGCAAGGGGGGCCCAGGAAGAGACCTGCGGTCAGTGCAGCCATGAAAGCCGTGCATTGTCATCGATGGAGGATCGTTTTGCCCGATGCCAACTCAGGCTATGTGCATCAGGTGTGCACGAGCAGAGTGGGCTGTAAAGCGGCACATGGAGTCTGACAACATGCATTTGCCAGGGAGATGGCAGACCAGCTGCTTTGGGCAAGCGAGTTGGAAGAGATTGTGAAATTGTGCCGTGGCCTCGGCATTGCTATGTTGTGGCTGCTCAAGCCCAAGCTTCTTAGTCAAGCCAGTCAAGCAGCTTGGCTTTACTTTCCCGAATGGCTGGTAAGGTTTGAGCTTGTGGATTGATGACTATGGCTCATGCTTCAAGATGAGCAGAGCACCCCGTGCTGGCATGAAAGAAACGGTTTCATCAAAGAGCTTTTGACTGAGGCTATGGCCGAGCGTCAGAATGTGTGTTTTATTTTAATCGCTAACGCGAGACCGCCTGGCAAGCGTGGTTAAGGCGAGAGATGGCTTCCCCCCTTGCCGCCCCGCCCCCTCCCCGCCAGATTGTTTAGGGTAGCCTCCCACTAATCAGACGCACGACCACCCTCCCCCCTCCTCCCCTCCCCCACGACATTTCGTGAAGATGTTGAGCGGCTCCTCATAAATAGAAAGAACAATTTGCTGGATCGTCTCGGAGCACTCGCCGACCGATCTTGCCCCCAAAATCTTCTCATCCAACAAGTCCCAAGGAGCCGCCTCCTGCAAGGGAACCCCCGGGATCCCTCCAAACTTTCGCATGCTGCTTAAATTGGACTTTATGTACCTCAACACAACAGGGCGGCGACTTGCGGCCATATCGCTGGCGCGCGTGTGCGGCCTAGCTTTTCCGGCTCTCCTGTAAAATGCCTCCTGCGAGCATCAAGGGGCTTTAGAAATCCCAAGATTAGGGCCTTCAGGCAAAGCTAGGGGCTCTAAAATCTTCGAGATTTTCGGTTTGGGCGGCGCGACCAAAAATCTCGGAGATTTTTGGTCGCGTGGCCTCCCCACCTCCAGCCCGCTCTGGGTACTCATTCATCTCTCTCTGGCTGTCCGTGCTTGGTCGCGCATCCCATGCTCTTGGCACTCTTGAATCTCCGTGGACAGGCGCGGCCGAAAGATTTCGGACCTCCTCCCGGGTCGACCTCTGATGAACATTCGGTGAGTCGGAATGACAGTCAATCAGGCGGGGTGCTGGTCTGTCAATCTCTCCGTGTTACGGTGCGTCGTTCTGATGGTCTGTCGGTCTGTCAGTCTCACGGTCTGTCTGTCCACCAGTCTGTCAGTGAATCTGTCAGTATGTCTTTGTCAAATCTGTCGCTCTCTCATTCTGTCAATCTAAAGTTCTCTGAATGCGTCTGTTCGTCGGTCTTTCAGTCTACTGTATCAGTCTATCAGTCCAGCAGTCTGAAAAAGAATGTCCGTCAGTCTATCAGCCCATCAATCTTTCAATGAATCATTCTATCGGCGAGGCTGCCGGTGCGTTGGTCTGTCAATCTGTCAATCTCATGATCTCTCAAGTGTCAGTCTCTCCAAATTTGCCATTCTTTCCGTGCGTCAATTTGTCGATTTGACAATCTGTCCGTCGCTGAGTCTGTCGGTCTCACGTTTGTGGAGCACAGATACTATATGGTGCTGCAAGTAGTGAGTCAACTCTAATTCTCTTATATATATATATATTTCTAAAAAATGAATACCCAGGGAATCCAAAACCCCCAAAAAAGCAGACTCTGTGTACAAAACCCGTCTTTAAAGCCACGCTTCGAGTAAAACCCGGTTCTCAGCTAAAAAACCTGGCTATTCCCAGAAACCCTGCTTCTCAATACTTCATCCTATCCCCAGCGCAAGAAGTGAGCTTTTTCGGATTGCGCTGCAGAAAAAGTAGGTTTTCAGCTGCTTTTCCCGAGAACCCATATCTAACCCATACGAACCCCATATTTAACCCATAAAAATCCATAAATCCAAGATGGCTTGGGAAAACCCGGTTTTCCCGAACCCGTGCGAACCCCATATTTAACCCGAGCGAACCCCATATTTGCACCATAAAAACCCATAAATCTCGATATAATTCGGGAAAACCCGGTTTTCCCGAACCAGTGCGAACCCCATATTTAACCCGTGCGAACCCCGCATTTATCCCTAATCAAGTATGTTGAATTCCTTCTATCGGGTACCAGTACGACAGCCGAAAATGTTCAAATGTAGGGTGTTTGGAAAATCCCGTCTTTGGCCTTAAAAACCCGGTTTTGTCCCAGAGCCCCATTTTTTCAGGGTTTTGGGTTCCCTAGGTAGATTTATACCTCAATTACGGCGCAGCAATTTGCGGTCATTTGGTTCGAGCGCGGCCTAGTTCTTTTGACTCACGTCTACAATGATTCTTGCAGACTCCCTAGGGGCTCTAAAATCTCGGAGATGTTCGCGCCCTTCGGAAAAGCTAGAGGCTCTAAAATCTCCGAGACTTTTGGTGTGGGCGGCGCGACCGGAGATTTTTGGTCGCGCGGCCCTTGTCTCCGGAGCGGTTTTCCGCGTTATTAATCCGTCTTTGACTCTCTGCACGGCCGCGCAGATAGCCCAAGAGAGATAAATGAAATAGAAAAACCAGGCTGGATGCGAGGGCCGCGCGACCCGAAATCCCCGAGATTTCAAACCATTTCTCCCTCTTCGGCTGTCTGCGCGGCGGCTCGGTGTAGACCCGGGGCGGAGATCCAAAATCTTTCAGAATCTATTAGGTTGGCCGTTTGGTCACGCGCGGTCTTATATGTTGATTGATAGTCGGGATTCATGTGCGATCTTAAATATTCCGCGCGATTTATCTCTCTTTGATTGTCGGCGCGGCTGCTCGGAGGAGCGCGTAGACCCAGGACGGAGAAGCAAAATCTTTCAGAATTTATAGATTGGTCGTATCTGTTCACGGAGATTCACGCGTTCCCCCGAGCCTCCGCATAGATAGCCCAAGAGAGATAAATGAAACGGAAAGACCGGGCTGGATGCGGATGCCGCGCGGTCAAGGGGCCGCGTGACCAAAAAGCTTCCAAGATTTCGAGCTATTTCTCTCTCTTTGGTTGTTTGCGCGGCAGCTTGGTGGAACGTGAAGACCCGGGACGGAGATTTAATTTTTTTTCAGAATCTATATGTCACGTGCGGTTTGAAGATGATGATAGTTCAGCGGACTTTACGTGCAATCTTATATATTGCTTGGTCATCGGATTTCTCTCGAGATTTCAAACCATTTCTCTCTCTTCGGCTGTCTGCGCGGCGGCTCGGTGTAGACCCAGGGCGGAGATCCAACATCTTTCAGAATCTATTAGGTTGGCCGTTTGGTCACGCGCGGTCTTATATGTTGATTGATCGTCAGGGTTCATGTGCGATCTTAAATATTCCGCGCGATTTATCTCTCTTTGATTGTCGGCGCGGCTGTTCGGAGAAGCGCGTAGACCCAGGACGGAGAAGCAAAATCTTTCAGAATTTATAGGTTGGTCGTGTCTGTTCACGGAGATTCATGCGTTCCCCCGAGCCTCCGCATAGATAGCTCAAGAAAGATAAATGAGACGGAAAGACCGGGCTGGATGCGGATGCCGCGCGGTCAAAGGGCCGCGTGACCAAAAAACTCCCAAGATTTCGAGCTATTTCTCTCTCTTTGGTTGTCTGCGCGGCAGCTTGGTGGAACGTGAAGACCCGGGACGGAGATTTATTTTTTTTTCAGAATCTATGGGCAATCCGTCTAACCGTAAAAGAGGGGAATTTGAAGGATAAGGGGCAATCAGTCCATCCGTGTAAAAGGAGAATTTGAAGGATAAGGGACGAGTAGTCTATTCGTAAAAGTGGAGAATTTTGAAGAGCAAGAGGGAAAGAATCTTAGCGTGAAAGCGGAGAATTTTAAGGGTAAGGGGCAAGCAATCTAATCGTAAAAGTAGAGAATTTGAAGGATAAGGGGCAAATAATCTAATCATAAAAGCGGAGAATTTTGAAGAGCAAGAGGAAAAATCCAATCGTGAAAGTTGAGAATTTCGAAGAGCAAGAGGGAAAGAATCTAACCTTGAAAACGGAGAATTCGAAGGGTAATGGACAAGCAGTCTAATCGTAAAAGTGGAGAATTTGAAGGGTAATGGGCAATCAGTC